CCTGGTGTGAATAAACCACACGCGGTCTCTCTGCCGGTTGGCGGTTATTCACATTGTGTCTGTGTCTGGCTATTCCTAATAGAACTGCTATGAGTATCTACCTTGCCTAATTTGGGCAAGGGGGTGTTAGGGTGATGGGGTATGGGAGGATTGAACCCAGAGTCATGTATATGCTCAGCAAGTGTTCTACTGCTCAGCTATCTCTGTTCATTTGTTATTTTGAAACAAGATCTGACAAAGTAGCCCAGGGTAGCCTTGAACTCTCAATTCTTCGGCCTCAACTCCCTGAGTAGCAGGGATATAAGCCACTTTCCCTGGCTTGATTTTTCTTATCATAAAATACCACTCACATTTGGGGTTCAATTTTGTACAAGAGATAAGTAACCTCGAAATGACATAATATCCTTTTCAGTGACTTTATCTTCTCACTAATTCTGTAATGCTCTGTGTCCTTGGGCAAGTTACTTAACATCCTTGAGCCTTGGTTTCTTTGTAAGCTCAGGATTATTATATGGGATATTGTCATGATTTAAATGAGGTAATATGCAAGGTCCTCTGCCCCAGGCCTGGCGGGTAGAAATCTCTAGCCAACTTTCATTATGGCTGTTGGCAACCCCAGCTCTTTATATAGGAGAGAAGATTATTTTAGTTATCCATTGTTGTTTCCAGTGAGCATCTCTTTCTGTCACACTGTGACAACCGCTAACACAAATCTACTTTTACTGTTCCTTTTTAAATTAAAAAAAAATGTTTTAGCCGGGCGGTGGTGGCGCACACCTTTAATCCCATCACTTGGGAGGCAGAGGCAGGCGGATTTCTGAGTCCGAGGCCAGCCTGGTCTACAGAGTGAGTTCCAGGACAGCCTGGGCTACACAGAGAAACCCTGTCTTGAGAAAAAAAAAAAAAAAAACAAAGTTTTATGTGCATATATGTGTGTGCTTGAGTGTGTGTCTGTGCACATAGAGAAACCCAAGGAGGCCGGATGAGGGTGCTGGGTCCCATGAGACCAGACTTAGAGATGGTTGTGAGCTGCCATGTGGGGTGCTGGGAACCAAAACTGGGTCCTCTACAAGAGCAGCTTAACCACTGGGCCATTCTCCAGAGTCTCCCCCTCCTCCTCTTCTTCCTTTTCTTCCTCCTCCTCTTCCTCCTTTCTTGCCTCTTCCTCTTCTTCTCCTCCTCCTGCTTCTGCTCCTCTTCCTCCACCTCTTCTTCCCCCTCCTCCTCCTTTTAATTCTGAGCTCATCTTAGTCCTCTCGCCTCCTTTTCATTGATTTTATCAGCTTCTTCCTTCTGAATCCAGCTAGGACCTTTACCGGAAATACAGTTAGAGATTGGTTTAGGGAGGGGTCTGAGATATTTTTACCATCAAGTCTCTATAGGCTATAACATGTCTCTCTACTTATGAAGCTCATATTTTGTATCCCACAGTCATTTTATAGATTTTTCTTTTTTTTTTCAAATTCAGATGCCATAGATTTCTTTTGCTTGATTATTCCTGGATAGTTTATGTTTTAGTTGCTATGGTGAATGGAACATCCCCCCCTCGTCGTATTTAATTGGTTATCATTTGCATATAGACAATGGTGGATCTCAGTTCTATTTCTGGCTTAGATACTCTGCTTTTTTAGTTTATTGAGTGCCTTGAAATAATTACCTTCTTTTCTTCTTTGCGTCTATACTTTTTTCTTGACATATTGCGCAGGCTATAATGTTCAAAGGGTAATAGACAAGAGTTAATGGCTGATAGAGGAGGGCTGCTGAGGGTTAGGGGTGCATGTCATGGGAAGTGTTTCTGGGGATCAGTGTGAGGAGGCACTTATAGGAAGAAAGATCACACATTCAGGGAAAGGGGCAAGAAGGAGAAGTCGGTTTGGCAAGCGGTGGGTAGCTACCAGACCATGGAGCATCAGATTTCTTTGGCCAGATGTATCTTAGAGTCACAGTTCAGGCTGAGGTAGAGGACCCGTCAGAGGGATGGAAGAGAGACTTGGGTGGAGTGGCCAGGTAAGTCCTTGCAAACTGTCAAGTGAGAGGTGGTGGGGACAGAAATGGTGTATGATGGAGGACAGTCTCATAGTCAGTTGTATATTATATTTAGGTTAGCACAGGGGCCTGAGCAGTACAGAGTTGGTTCCTGCTTTCATCAGAAGGGTTCTAGTGAGCCAGAGACCAAGCTGTTTCCTGTCTGACATCAATGCCCTGCCTGTCCAGACCACTGAGCCTTGCACTTTCCTGTCTCACCCCATAGAAGATGTCTGCAGTCCTTGTTCTTCCAAGAAGCATGTGGCCTTACATGTTAGTTCTTGCTATTGTTCATTACACATAACATGAATGATGATCTAGGTAAACTCACTTTCCCTGGTCTCAAGGGACTGTGGCTTTGGCCTCTAATAAAATTTACCTCCTAGCTCAACCTTCTCCTTTGGTGGTCAAGATTCCCCCATCCTGTTCCATAACGTGACCTCCACTGGCTCAGACCTATGTGGGCCTGGGACCACAGTGCTCATCCACAGGTTGGATATGGCTGGATCTCCAGAGTGTGATGTGAGGATGGGAAAGGCTGGGGAGGCAGTGAGTGCCACCTCTCATGCTGCCCAGCCAGCATCTTCCCACTCTCCCCACTGCACCCTCAGAACATCAATCAGACTTCCCTTCTGTCCTTCACATACACTCCATACAGGAGCAGAAGAGCAAGAACAGCAAGACCCCGGGCTCTATCAGGAGAAGAAGAGAAAAGCTGCTCAGGGCTCAGAGCAAGGACACCCACTGCTCCCAGCAGGAGCCACAAATCTTGGCAGTGTGCAAGCATGCAAAAAGCCAGGCTGGAGGGGCAGGGCTGGGACCAGAGGGGTGAGAAGCAGCAGGGATTCCGTGGGAGATCTGGACAGAGGAGTGCACATTTAAAACTAAGGATTTTCCTACGACTTTAATGGACTCAATGTCCAGGGATATGACAATCTGGACTATAAACCCCTATCATCAACTCTAATAAGGAGTCCAGTTCAGGTGGTGGATTCTCTCTGGGCCGTCTTCCAAACCCCACTCAAGTTCTGGCTTTTTGATGGGTCTCACTTCCTCTTATACAGTTGGAGGCAATGCAAAGGAACACTGAATTCATAGACATCAGGGTCCATGAATGGTTCTATACAAATGCAGCCCTGAGTTACGACTGGGAACTTTGACTTGGTAAATAGCAAAGGGGAGGTCACTGGTGATGTGGGCAGCAGGCTGCTGAGTGGACTCGGTTGTTCCTCTGATGCTGGATGGTCACAGCTCTACCTGGTGATGTGCTTACCTGGGAGTACTCGGAGATTTACCTATGCAGTTCAGAAACTTAGATCTACCCCCGGAAACAAAAGAGACTGACCCTCAAATAAGGTGAAAGCTCTGAATAGCAAGCTATCCTTTTTATTTAAACTGTGAAACAAGATATTAAATTATAGATAATATATATTATATATGCACAATATATTATATTAATTATATATTATGTATACATAATATGTATGTATATATTATATTATATATACACATGTATGTATATTATATTAATTATGTATCAATTTACATAATATATGTATATATGTTCACATGTATAATATGTATATTATATCTTACATATATAATATACAGATGTATGTCTAATATAACATATACACATAATAAATATATACAATATAATTATATTTATTCCATATAATATATGATTATATGTAACAAATATATAATTATATTGTATAATATATAATTACATATAACAAATATGTAATTAATTATATATTAATATATTATATGTACATAATAATATTATGTATATGATATCACATGTTATATAGTATACAAATATATAAGTATCTAATAATTATGTATGTAATATACACATATATGTATATATCCATAATATAACATATAAACACATGTTCATTATTATGTATATAGACATATATGTGTGTATATAAAATGTACATAATACATTGTATATAATATATGTTTAATCTAATATATATAATATACACATATACATATTATATATATAATCAAGTTAGTTATATTTCCAAGTCTGTACGATGTAGTTGATTCAGCTTCATTTCTGTGCTTTCTTTCTCTCTGTGTTGCCCAGGTCCACAGCGGCTCTGGCCCCCATGCTAATGAGATGGTCTCTATCACACCCCACATCTATCGTTCCTGTCCTCAACGCTTCCCACTTAGCGATTTGTAAGGACTTACCTGGTCATCCTGTCTGAGTCTCGCATTACATATTGGCATCCCCTGCCCTCTTCAGAGTCCAGCCTCTTGCCTGACAACCATACTCAATATACATACTAACCCTATGAAATCTACACAGGAAAAAGAATTTAATTTTCTCCTTAGAAGCACCACCCCCAAACATTGTCCTTGATATAAAGTTACTTATCATATACATACATATTTTTCCTTTGCCTGCTGCTGTGATAAAAGCGATTCACGGGAGAAAAGATTTATTGGGCCCACGGTGCGTGGGTGCAGTCCATTGTTGTGAGCAGGTCGTGGCAGCTTGGAACTGGGACTGGTGGTCATGTTACATCTGCAGCTAGGAAACGGGTGATGAATCGTACAAGTTGCTCATTCTTTTTTGTTTTTTCAAAGATTTTATATTTTATATAAGATTTTATATCAGGGACACAGTAATGTGCACATGAGTGCGGGGCCCCCAGAAGCCAGAAGAGGGCGCTGAACCCACTGGAGTTACAGGATATTGTGAATCAGCTGTGGCTCTAGAGAAGAGACGTGGGGGCCTCTGCAAGAGCAGGACACAGTCTTAACTACCGAGCCATCTGTCCTGCCTCATGCTGTTCATTTTTTTATTTTGAAATTATGGGCTCAGCTCCAAGGTACAGCTCAAAATTTGGGGACTTTCCACGGCATACGAGTCAGATGATGGAGCCGAGGAGTCTTCAACTCTTCAGAACTGGGTAAACCACGATGCCGGGGGTGGGACGTGGCTGCTGGACACTCCGTCTCAGTGTGGGGATGTTGTGAAGAGCTGAGACATTCAAGAAGTGGAGCCCAGTGGGAGTCAGGAGACACCACCCTCGTTCACCCTCGGAAGGACTGAGGTAACTCTATGACCCTGTGTCGATTCTCCGGTAGGCCCCGTCCCATCTCTGCTTGGCTTGTTCAGAGTTGGCCTGAAATCTGATTTTGACTGTGCGCTCACATTTGCTGAGAGTAAAGCCCTAGGAAACCAGCATGGCAGGAGTGTTTTAATTAACAGAGCTGCTCTGTACATTAGGCTGCTGCGACTTTGCTCAATGCTGACGATGACTGCAGTTTAGCACCGGGGGAAGAAAGCTACGAAGGAAATGGATCAGATGAAGCAATACTGGGAGTTTATGAAGTCTGCGCGTTTTCTTGAGGCTTCACAGGGACCGCTTTTAAACTGGCTGTCACCCATGCATGAATTATCCCCTCCACCTGGGAGGACAGAGGACGACAAGACATACACCCACACTCAGGGCACGAGCCACGCCAGCCTCATAATTCTTTCTTATGCTGCTCAAGTGTAGAGTGCCGTGAGTGCAGAGAGAGAGACCTGATGTCCTCAGAATTAAAAAAAAAAAAAAAAAAAAAAAACCACAACCCTGGGGGCAGAGGAGAGGCAAGAAATAAATAACAAACCAGGATGCTATTTACATACAGAGGGGAGGCCTCTGAGACTCAGCTCCAGGGGCCTTCCGTGTCAGTAATAACTCCGTGAAGGAAATAAAGAGACTCTTCCGCAACCCCACATCGCCTGAGATGCTATCTGCACGGGTTCGCCTTTGTTTCCTGATGGATCCTAACACGGCAGAGGGGAGGCAGGGCTGTCAAACGCAACGGTGAGGTAGGGTGTGGGGGTGAGTCCGGTGGTCCCCATGATGACTCAATTATGTTGGCTGTGAAGAGATTAATTAGAATCGAATATTCTATTGATGTAAAACCGCCTTTTGCACCTGCCATTGGTACCCTCATTACCGGCTTCCCATTATAGGGGATTATATGGCACAATGAAATGCAGTTTATGCTTCCTGGGAGACATTCCTAAATAGGTTTACTGTACTTAACTCCTGGTGAAGGGGGTTACCTAAGAGATCCATGACTCAGTCTCTGTCTCTCATCTCTGTCTCTCTCTGTCTCTTTCACTCTCTCCATCCTTTTCCATAAACTATAAACACAGATATTCCCCTGCCCACCGGACAGGCTACAAGCTCAGATGTAAGTCCTACCACATCTTGTTCACTTTGTGCCTGACATCGTAGGATGATGGAGTCAGAGAGATCCTTGTCAACTCCTTGAAACTAAATGAATCACATCGAATAGCTTCTCTTCCTCACGTATTAGAAGCTTGGTCTCCAGTGTGGGACTGTTGGGAGATGGGTGGGTGCCTGGTGTTGCTTGGCTAGGTCATTGTGGGAGTCAACCCTTGGAAGAGGTTGAAGTAGCTCATGTGGGACTTCAGATGGCTGTGTGACAACAAGCTGGTTCCTTCCGGCTTACTCACTGGCTTCATGTCTCATGATCTACCCATTTGCATGGTCCTCCCCCATGATAGCATCTTCCAGGAAATGATAGAGACAAGAAAGCCCTTACCAGAAGCCAAACAGATGGATCTGCCCAATCATAGACTTTCCAAATGGTTGATTTTTTTTTTAAGTTATAAAGTATCCAGTTTGGGTTTTGGGGAAGGTCATGTTACAGGATCTGAAATAGACCAGTGATATACACACGGGGAGTGGCTCTCTGGAAGAAGTGAGGTTCAGAGCCAGAGTCTTTGGGATTTGTGGAGTTTGTCTTTTGGGAGTGGGGAGAGAGATGTGTATTTACTGGGGTGGGCAGCATCTGTGGACTTGGAAGAAAACTTTCAAGCAAATATCAGGTCAGAGAAACTGCCTCCTGACCCAACAACACTCCTTTCTTGCGATGCTGAGCTGAGGGGCTCCAGGTCAAGATTAGGACAATCCCAGCCCTAACAGACTCAGCCAATGCTGGTTAAATGGGAAACAGAGACAAGAACCTGTTACTCTATCCAACTTGCATAAGAGCATCCTTTGGTTCTCAGGTGTCCCACCTACTGAATAGTCACAGTTCAGGAAGGAAAGGGCATCAGGAATCATCAAAGTCTCGGCAACTGGCTCTCATCGAATTCAGTCTGTGGATGCAACCTTTCCAATGTGCCCTAAATTTGGATGACCTGGAATGAAGGTAGGTAGCACGGCATATTTGTTTGAAGGTACTCCTAGAATCCCCATGGTGCTGGACTCTGTCTTGGTCAGCTTTGTCAAACTGACCCAGCCTAGAGTCATCTGAGGGAAGCCCCAACTAAGGAATCACCTGGATCATAAGGACCTGTGAATACGTGTGGGGAGGCCTGTCTTGATTATTAATTGATGCAGGAGGGTCCAGCCCACTAAGGGCGGCACCATCCCTAGGAGGGTAGTCCTGGGCTGAATAAGAAAGCTATCTGAGCATAAGCTAATGAGAAACCTGGAGAGTGCCCGTAGACAGAGTCCTCCAGGTTCCTGCCCTGACGTTTCCTCAGTGACCGATTGTGACCTAGAAGAATCAGATAAAGCAAACCCTAGTTGCTTTTGGTCAGAGCGTTTTATCACAGCAACAGAACAAACCAGGACAGGGTCCAAAGATCTCGAGTTGAGAGCCTGTATGGGAGGTAGAAATAGAAGACACCCCCTACCTAGAGACAGCCAGCATGTACCATCTCTCTCTGATGTCTTTTGGAGGAGCCCTGGGCCCCAAAGCTCACAGGCATCACTGAGTTTCTTGATTGGCCACAAACACAAACATATCCCAGCATACCATGTACCTTGTATCACAGAAGTGTCAACAGATTCTGGGTCAAGTGACAAGTTTGCCCTACCCCTCCCCTGGCTCAACCAGTTCCTATCTCGTCTCCTTTGGAGACTTTAAGACATCCTTTATAGATGGGCAGTGAAGAGCAGAGAAGTTTCTGGGGCTCTTCTATCACCTGGTCCAGATGATGGGAGGGGTGGTGGCCCAAGGAACCTTGAAATGACCTTAGCTATGCAAATGTGATTGACTCAGAGACAAAGGAGAGCCAGACCTTCTTCATGGGGTCAATGGGCTCTCGTATGATTGACACTGCACATTTCACAGAATACAGAGAAGAATCCTGAGTCTGCCCTCTGCTTTACATTCCCTCAACTAACACTTCTTGAGCTGCTAGGTTCATCTGGGACTTCAGCAGTGAACATGCAAGTGTGTTCTGTGGCCTCCAGACCTTGTGTTCTGGTAGAAACTCTGCATCTCAAGTGACCCAAGGCATCATGTTGGGAATTCAGTCACTGCCACCACCGTCGCTGCTGAGTGTGTGCAGAATGAGGAATTCTGTGAACTGAAGAACAAATAGTAAGCAATACTGGTGGCTGGAGAGATGACTCACTGGGTGAGAGGATCTTGCAGAGGACCTGGGTTCTGTTCTCAGCACTTGAATAGTATCTCACAACCCTCTATAACTCCAGTTCCAGGGGCTCTGATGCCCTCTCTGGCCTGCCTGGATACTGGGCATGCATAGTGCACAGCAAATATACTTTTAAATTGTTGTATAAAATAAACACATTTACTAGTAAGTTATCAGAAGTCATGACTTATCATTATTCCCATAGGTCAGTGTATCTCTGAACCCTCATCAAAAAAGCTTCCTTTGGTGCTAGATGTGTATTAACACAGAAACCTGGTCAAGGTCCAGACAATAAGAGACTTTTGAGTGCTCAGCCCTTAGCCAGGCTTCCTCACAAGGCTCAAGGGTCACTGAAGAAGAGATGGAGGGAAGACTGAAAAAGCCAGGGTGACAGTTGATTACACAGAAGGAAAAAAAAATGTTTTCCAGACATAGCAGGGCAGCTGCCCACAAGAATTCATAGCAGGGCCAGAGGTGGTGGTGCTCACCTTTAATCCCAGCACTTGGGAGGCAGAGGCAGGAGGATCTCTGTAGGTCTGGGGCTAGCCTGGACAATGAGCTCCGAGACAGCCAATGCTACATAGTGAGAGTTTGTCTCAAGAACAAACAAACAAAAAACCCAAGCAAAACAAGCAAACAAAACCCTAATCCAAACAAACAAAACTAAGCATTCATAGCAGTGATGGCAGCACACACCGACCTGAAAAAGCTCAATCCAGACAAAACCCCCAGCATGGAGAAGGAAGGAGGCCACAACACTCCACCTACAGCCGAGGAGCTATTGGCAACTAACTGCCGGTTGGTGAGAGAGGCAGGGTTTTGTTTTGTTTTTTTTTTTTAAGCGTTACCCTTGGTAAGTTGACCGTGCTCCAGTAGACAGCCCCACACCCAAAAGTATAAGAGTATCACAAATTGGACTTTTATTTTGATGGTTTCCTCACATACATGCCTGAGTGTGCTCCCCTAGACACCCAACATGGAGTCTCATCATTTTCCAGCATTCGAGGTTTTTCGAGTCCCGCTCAGTTTACAGGTACACCCCCCGCCATGCCTTTCTTACAACTTAGATGTTGAAGAATCTGAGCCTTTTTTTTTGAAGCTCTAAGTTTCTACTGTCTAGATTCCTCCGACTGACACCTTTGAGGGAGTTTCAAGCTATAAATCTGAATTTCCTGCAAAGCGGTGCTGGATCCAGGGGTTGGATCAGAACCAGGCTCTCTCTGTCAAGTCCTTACAGGTGTGGGGTGCTCTTGTGTGGAGACAGGAGGATCTCATTGCTTCTTAGTGTGTGATGTGACTCCCTGATGTCACATGACCCATTAGCCCAGTAATTCCTTGGGGAGATCCAAATGGTGATTTTCTAAACGTCTTCATGAGGTACCCTGAATATTCTGTAAGACACTTCCACTCTTTGTCATTCACCAGTGAGTTACCCAGTGGTAGGGTTTACATGTTAAAGGCAGTATAACCCCTTGCTTCTTCTCTGTCACACACCAATTTGCACAGACTGGCCTTGAACTTATAATCCTCCTGTCTCCACATCTACTGTACCGGAACGATAGGTGTTCGAAACCAAGCCTACTTAGCTGGTTTGAGAAAATGAATTTGTTCTTCATCCACTAAAAGGTGAGTATTTTTAAGAATTAAAGATTGAACCATATCTGAAGGAGCTCAATCCACTACAATTAAAATCTTTACTGACGTACAGATGGCTCTCAGGTTGCCCAGTGCCAACACCCTATGGGTGCTTCTCATGTGTCTTAGGGTTTTACTGCTGTGAACAGACACCATGACCAAGGCAACTCTTATAAGGACAACATTTAATTGGGGCTGGCTTACAGGTTCTGAGGTTCAGTCCATTATCATTAAGGCGGGTACATGGCAGCATCTAGGCAGACATGGTACAGCAGGAACTGAGAGTTCAACATCTTCATCTCAAGTCTGCTAGCAGAATACTGACTTCCAGGCAGCTAGGATGAGAGTCTTAAAGCCCACACTCACAGTGACACACCTATTCCAACAAGGGCAGTACTACTCCAACAGGGCTACACCTTCTAATCCTGCCGTTCTCTGGGCAGAGCATATACAAACCATCACATCATTCCATTTAGCCTGAGCTAGGGTGTCTTCCAAACCTCTCCATCTCTATAAGATGTC